GCTTCTTGTTACTAGTAGTAAGAATGCTCCTAGTAGTACGGCCAGGAGCCCCTAGTAGAGTCCTTGCTCCTAGTAGTATGGCCAGGAGCCCCTAGTAGCTTCTTGTTACTAGTAGTAAGAATGCTCCTAAAGTAGTAAGGCCAGGAGCCCCTAGTAGCGGCCTTGCTCCTAGTAGCGATGCCCTTGCTCCTAGTAGCTTCTCTTACTGCTTCTTGGTGTTTAAAACTTCAATCAGCAAGCCATAGCAAGCCCAGGCATTCAGGCCTTCCCAGTAGTAGGGACATTGCTTGGCCTGGCACCTAGTCCTGCAGTTGGCGCCATCTTGAATTTCATCCTCTGAATCGACATGGATCTCAATGAGATTCCTGACACACCATAAAGTTTCAAACGAATGAATGGGTATGCCTGGATGAAACCAGTGTGGCACAAAGTTGAATACTGACATGATTTGTGTACATAAAAAATGTCAATGTGTGTGTGTGTGTCATTGTACGTATGTCCCAAATGCTCTTGTGCTCCCAAGTCTTTTTGGACTGGACAAAATTCATCAAACTCTGGATGCTGCCAAGTAGCTCCTGCTCACAAACAAATTCTCCCTCCACCTTGGCTCTGTGTTCATTATGCTTCTTGAATGTGAGGTGTGCTCTGACTTGCAAGACCCCACAAGTCCAAAGTCAGTGGACTCTCAACAATCAGTGAAAAGCATTCTGTGCAATTTCGGGTTTGCACCAGAATGAATTTCTCACCCTTGCAGTGGATAAGATGCTCCAGCTGCTCAAGTGTTGCCAACTTGGCTCGTCTCTCGCATCTAGACACCATGTCAAAGTCGTGCCTCTTAAGCTCCTGACAATCTGGAAGGCAGGGGGGATGAACTCGTTGTTGCTGCCAGCGGGAACATCTGCAATACTCTCGCCTTCAAACAGGCCATTGGAAAGCAGGCTGGAATCATAGCTGTGCCAGTCCATTGAAGGATGTAACCCGTACGGGATAGACTCTGATAGATGCTCTTAAGGGATGCAACCAGAATCAGTATGGAATGCTATTGCTGCATGTCAAGATCTTGAGATGTTTTGAGTCTTCACACTGTCAGAGCCTGCCACTGGAGGCCAAGGACCCCATTTTGCAGGGACACATTGACACGGATGAAGCCAGTGGTCATCAGCCATGTCTGTTGCAGGGTCATCGAACACCTCGATACAAAACGTGTTGTCGTCGCGTACCACTGCACATGTACTTTCGGGCAATTGATCCCACCGTGACAATGGACATCTCATTGGGCGGATGACTTGGTGCAGTACCAAAAAAGAGACAGGCTACTTGAAGAGGCTAGACGGGCTTCAGCCAGAAGAAGAAAAACATTATATATAAATTATATATTCCAACTTTGCAAGAGTGTCTCGCCGCGCAACACCAAAAAGGGTGAGAAGGAATGTGGCCCAGGGTGTCAGGGAAATCCGGACTGCAACAAGAGGACGCTACTAGGAACAAAGGGCATCGCTAGTAGTAGCAAGGACGCTACTAGTAGCTCCTGGCCTCACTACTAGTAACAAGAAGCTACTAGTAACTAGTAACAATTGAGATAGTTGATGGACAAGTTACCAATGGATACACGGACTGCTCGTTCGCTTCCGCTGCTGCTTCTTCCTTGTCCTCTTCAAACAAATTAGATATGACAGGACTGCAAATGCGTCAACAAAAACAAACGGAAGCAAGCCAGGACTTCTTATTGCGCAGGGTCGCTACATATATCACATATATATATATATGAAGCTGGAATGCTTTACTAGAGATTCCAAGGAGAGTTTACACTTATCATCACTTATCAAATTATGTCCAAAAAGATCCAAAAAGACTCCGGCACAAAACAAGTCTAAGTGGATATTGTAAACATCTGAAATGATCATGTTTCACAATCGAGAAGCAGCCATCATGTCCTGAGTTGTGACATTCGGAGTCTGACAGCCAGGTGCTGCAACCGTCGCCCTAGCGCCGCTCACTGACAGCTTCTTCACCTCCACAACTTCTACGGAAAACAGTCTGGTCACCTCTGATGTTTCAAGTATTGTGTCGCCCCTCTTCCTCTCTCTCACCATTCACCATAGAATCCTAGAAGAGTCCTTTCTAGGGTCAACGGCTGAAAACGTGTTTTGAAACGTTTTCCCAGCATTTCCCAGCCGTCAGTTGCGCATCATTGTTGCCGAAGACATCGCTGGGCAAATCAACCTCTCACAAACACAAGTCGCCCATTTTCCAGATTTCACTATTATAGAAGCATCACCCCTTTTACTCAGCTAGGGACGTGCTCTCAAGCAACATGTCGAAAGATTATGCAAAGTCAAGATCACGCAAGCATCAAACAATAAGCTACTAGGAACAAGTGCATCGCTACTAGTAACAAGTGCCTTACTAGTAGTAACAAGAAGCTAGTAGAAACAAGAATTAAATACGGTCCAAAGTTTGCGATACCCGGACAAGGGGCACTGTTGGATTTGACACATGCGACGATGGATCCATGAAGCTCGACATATCCCATGGTAATGTTCTCGTAGTCCTGTCACTTGCGTCAAGTACGAGCAAGAAGAATCACTACTGGTAGGGTTAGCGAATGAGGCACTGAGCGAAGCAGTCCTTGTCGGCATCTGGCTTTAAAATGGCCCAGTCGCCACTGGCACACTGGTTATCGCCCCGGGCTGTGTCATAGCGCTGCAGCCAGAAAGTTTCCTGGAGCAAAATCTTCTCTTCAAACAAAATTGGACTGTATTGGTTTCCAAGTCTGTTCAATTATGTTCAATTCAAAAGTCACAACAAATGCCAATGATGTGCGATGTGCTCCATCCTGCTTTGTCAAGCCTTGCTTGAAATACACAGGCCCTTGGCCCGTCGTCTCGACGTTCTCCCCACGTGGGCAATATTCCCCCCCCACATAGTGGAAGTCAGGAAGGTTGATGTCGATGCAGCTTCCTCTCTCGCCACATCCCGCAAAATGCTCAAAGACCCATACGTCCTGCGTGGTGTGCAGGAGAAAGTGACAAGGGCATTACTACTAGCAACAAGAACATCGCTACTAGTAGCTTCTCGCTACTAGTAGAAATGCCCTTGTTATTAGTAGCATCTAGTAGCGATGCACTTGCTACTACAAGTAGTAGCTTCTTGCTACTAGCTCGCTATCAAAATATACAGTAGATCTACTTCGATTGGAGCAGGGGCTATCAGTAATGCATGAAATGTGATCAGCTGGTTCAACTAATTGCATTTCCTGGCAAGAGAAGGCTGGATGCTTTGCTTCCTTCCATGGGCATGTCTGATTGAGATTTGCAGAACAACAATAGATCTTAAAAAGTACTCAAGTGAGTCCGGGTATCATTAGGGATTGAGATGAATCGTTTGGGATACAGTGCACCAATAGCTGGACATGGCACAAACAGAAACGCATAGCCTTTCTGCATGGATTGCGCCTCAAGACTTTGGCTTCTCCAGTCCTTGTGGATGCAAGCATGCTCTGAAGAATCCTTGCAAAGGCCCGAGAAAAAGTAGCAGTCGTTCCCAGAGGTGTGGAAATGAGAACAAGTGGCATCGGAACCTCAGGTGCGGTGTTGGAATCCTGCAGAAGTAGCTCGGCGATTTGTGCATTCACCTTGCAATGCATGCATCCGTTGTGCTGCTAATCAAAGAATCATGGAGCTGTGCTACTAACTACAATAACGGATCATCTACTTTTCAATATTTGCGCACTCCTGGCAGTCCAAGGTTCGGCACAAAGACCTGCAGTCGCTCTCCGACTTGGCACCCTTGTGATGCCTGCGGGCAAAACTGAGCCGCTTCTTGGCCCAACAGGTCCTGAGCTTAGCACGATCAGGGTATCTAGTGAACCCAAATCATATGTGTATATGTATATACTGTGTATACAAAATCACATATATATATATAAGGGCAACAAATACGGGCAATAGTTCTTAATGTATCTTAATGCCTTGTTTTAAGAAACCGGGTTCAACTTGCATGAGGCAGGTACTGTTCGCCCATTCTGGCCAACGACTTCTTTTGCTTAACTCTGTGTGTCTTTACAGGTGGCCTGGCTTCATGGTTATCCTACAAAGGTCAAACCAAACATGGTTCGTGTTTTAGGCAGGAGTGGCTACAACATGTGGCAATGTAGTAGCGAAGCAAACACCCCATTGCAGTATGCAACAAGGTGTGCAAACGAGGTCAGCAACCGTTGTAATGCTTTGTGACAAAGCAACACCATCCCTTCGAACGCGGGTACTTGCTTTTGTCGTTCTTCAAAAGGTCCAGTGTTGTACAGTATGGCTTTTTGTTCACTCTTTTATGGAGCTTAGCTTCCCTTGCCAGCAGTGTCCAGCAACGCTGGATATGCTATTGAATCCACCGTGTTGCTTCAGTTGCTTGCAATTCTGCACAAACAAAATACGCAAACAAAAGAGCAATCACCTCTTCCAGACGTGCTCAAATCAGGAGAGGGGTGACGCTGTTCAAACATTCCTGTCACTTCGCTGTATACACCGCAAGGCGCAAGTGGGATGATGTGGGATGTATATGATTATGTGTTTCTTGGTTTGCTCACAGATTGTCGCATTCATGTAGGTGTTGCTGGGCCAACTGCCATTCAAGGATTCAGTTTGATCCGTGTCAAGACCTGTGGTTCTACTTGAGAGCAAACGTGTCGAGGGATCAGATTGTAGTCCTTGCTTCTTGTTACTACTAGTAAGGCACCTGTTACTACTAGCGTGGCACCTGTTACTACTAGCGTGGCACTTGTTACTACTCCCACTATGTGTCTAGAGATTGCTTGCTTTCTACATCTTTCTACCGTGCAAACTTTGGACATGTATGTCCATACATCCTTCTCAGCTTTGCGGTCTTTACTACCACCCGATCTTCTCATCCATCTAGTTGCACATCAACATTACGACGTGCATCCTTTGCATGTTTGACACCCAATCACCTGACAAATGCTCCAATGCCTCTCAAATTTGCAGCTAAATATGCAACCTAGGATAACCATGGATAACCTAGGTAGCCCTTCCCCATCCTCAGCATCCATCAGGCAGTAGAGGTCTCGGATTTGACGTTTGGTCGAGGTCAAGGCGCTGATCCCGCAACTCCACGCCCAATCTGTGGGTCAGCACTGGGCCTTGACCCGCCGGCAGCCACTCATAGTGTCCCAGGATCGTGCACTGCCTGAACGCGTTAGAACGCAAATAGAAAGCTCAAAAGGGCAAGCTGTTCTTGTACGCTCTGTATCTCTGCTAGTTTCTGCTCCATTCTGCTTATAACTTCGTTGAACACAAGTTGCAAGTTGATCTTCCTGCGCACAGCATGCACCTTGACACCGCATGCGGGAGACACCAAAAGTCAGTGTGCAGCCATGATTCGTGCACAATCCTTCTGCCAGTACTAAGTACCAGCGAAATTGGACATGGGATGTTGATGATGTTGTTGCCAGAATTGTGAGAGCAAGCCAAAATTGACGCTGACCAAGTAATGAATCTTGGTAAGCTCACTCTGTTCCAGGGGTGTAATTATGCTGGACTGGACGCACCACACCAAAACTAGTCTACCATTTGTTGCAGTTGTGCCACATCAATAGCATCAAGGGCTTTGGTCAAGGACTCCTCCGGTTGCATCTGCAAGTCACCTGTCTTCACGTCCAGAGAAAAAAGCACATGTCCTTGGCAAGCTGTGGTGTGAATCGCAGGATGTGCACAAACTAACACTTGAGATGTGGATGACTCTCACACATGAAAGAACCTGTTCTCAATACTTCTCGATAATATACGTTCACACACACACAAAACGACACAAGCAGTATCAGTATATGTATGCTAAGTGTTCTAGACCTGATTAGAATGCCTCGTCGTGTGGGAGATGTTACTGGTTCATTCTGAATTTGAACCATTCGAGCAAATGCGAGTAGGTGGCCCTCAAAGGTTGCAATGCCACTAAGCTCGTCAAAAGCAAATGCATTGCCAGCACAAAAGGCTGAGTATCCTGGGCCGGCACAGGAAACCTTTGTCTGAGGTGGAATGTTCCGTCTGAAGATTTTTAAATCGCGTGCTAACATGATCTAAGATTCGGGTGGGTGGTACACCACTGCCAGCTTTCACTGGCAGGACAGGCGAACGCTCTCCAACTGTGGCATACAGCAACGTGCTGCTGCCATAGCTGTAACCTGCAAGTGGCTGCCCGGATGTGAAGATGGGACTCACCTGAACATAGACTGATCCTCTACGCGAGGCTGCATGCAAGGTCTTGCCAGGAAACTCATTGAGGTCCACGCTTGGGGTGCCAAAACAGTGACCTGCGCCTGATGGCCCCCTTGCTCCACCGTGCAAACACCTCCTCGACCCAAGCTGCTGCCAGATCCCTCCTGGCGCTGCTGCACGGTCAAGGTGGCAAACAAGTCTCTGACGATAAAAAAGTGTCGTCCACATGCCTGTATCCGACACATGTTTCTTTCACCTGACATGTTCCATACCGGTTTCTAGTGAGACAAATAGGTCCCCTGATGGTGGCAAAGACCGTCAAGAACACCATGTGCGTGTCGGGTTTCAACCATGGCCACGGCTCTCCGTAAGCTTTCCGCCAGAGGTTGCGCCCTTCAAGGAAAGCACTCCAGTTGAAGAATCAACAGAAAGCCAAGTGCTTGCCTAGAAAGGGTGGCAAACATGCATCAAACAGGCGGGCATTGCTGGTAACCTGTCGTTTAGAATCTATCAGTCTTTTCATTTGCCACATTGGCAACTTTGCAAAGTCCAAGTGAAGTATAAGGGTTCCTGTCAAGCGGCCTCTGGGACGCAGTTCAGGCCAAAGTTGCCAGTCGCTCCAGATGCAGGGTGTAAAGACGTAATGCCAGACCGTAGCACCACCGCAGTGCCATACCCCAAGTGGCTCACCATCACCTGAGATGCTCACTGGGGAAAAACACTTGGTTCTGTCTTCTGACCTTTCTGGAAAAGGGAATGGCCTCAAAGGTCTTTGGTCCGTCGAAAAAATGCATGTTTCACAGATCTTTCGCGGCTTCATCACGAAACATGGTCTTAGCGTCACCTCAAATCAAATCTATCATGTTTTACTGTTCTTGAACTACGCGATATTATACACATATCTATTTTTCACAAGGAATGATTGGCATCTTGCAGCAAGACCTACACACAAGGTTGATACTTGATATATAGCTGCTACAGCTACTTCAAGGTCGCTGGCAGCATCTGCGCGGCAATCCTTGGGGAATATCCTGGCGGAGGCTTGGGATAGTCACGCGCCACTCAATCCAACCCTCATGCCAGCTTGCAGAGCAGGGTGAGGCAGCTCGGGGATTGGGGTGCTCAAAATTGGGAATCCTCACATTCGCGGAACTTTCGTGAAAGTTCACTGATGCTTTCTCCAGATTAAATCAAGCACAAACATCTGCGCAACCTGTCGCAGCTGCGGATCGTTGCCCTACTGTGCGCGAGGGCGACGCAGTTGCAGTTTTAAGTTGCCTTGGGGCGGGACAATCCTGTACGCACTGTGACGGTTGCGCAAGGAAACGTTGAGGTTTCAGTTCGCTATAGTTCGTGACAGTGGAGACATGTGCGACGTGCGAACGCTTCCGCCCTCCGGTCGGGCAATTATGTTGTATGTATGTATTTCTATCATGTATGAAGGGAAGCTATAAGCTATATAGTATTATATAGTAATAAATGAAGACGTTCGACAAATCCTTTGCAAAAAATAACGGGGCTATACCGGGCTCCTGTCCCATGCAACACCGTGACCGCAAGCAAGCGCCCCAAAGGGACCGTGATCGCCAGCCCGCTTGAACCCAAGAGCTCACCACATCGCAGAGTGGAGCCCAGCATCACTTCCCGTCCGTCTGAACAGGTTCGCCACCTGACTCACCCCGGCCTCACAGCCGTCGTCAATTCTGAGCCGCAGCAAGGTCCAAGTCCAACCTTTGCAGCAACCTCTATAGAAACAGCCGTTAAGCTGCAACTCCTGTTTTGGGCCGCGAGCTGCGAAGGTAAAGTCAACATGACATCCTACTATGTGCAAGGTACAAATTGTACATATTACATGGAGTGAAAATACACCCCCCTCAGCTAAGGTAGCTTTGCTCCCGAAGCTGGACGCGGAAAGTGCACGAGGGCTTGTGCAGGGCGCGACAGTGATGTCGGCTCAAAGCTGCATGGCAGTTGTGGACGCTAGCAATCCACTGCCTTCGTGGCCCTGTACGTGCATTTTTATTATTCACTCCCCGCCGCCAAAAGAAATTGAAAGTTTGGACTTGGGAGGAAAACCGCATACATATTGACAATGGATGTCATGCAATGAATTATGCTCGCTCAGGCAAAAAGGTTGAGACTTGGCTCAACTAACGCCAATGCCACTGGCTCCGACTCGAGCTCCAGTCCCACGAGCGGCGGTCCCACTGCCGCTGCTCGCCCCACTCGCTCCAGTTCCATGAGCTCCATCCCCGCGAGGACGATGCTGATCCGGATGCACGTGGGCTCACCGGTGAAGGTGGCGGACCTCCCTTTGCCTTTGAAGCTGGAGTTCCATCACCTCCGGTAGAGGACTTGCGCTTGCCCTTGCTCTGCTGCTGGCGCTGCTCTTGAGTCTGCTTGTTGACCACATCGCGCCTGGCAGCGGAGAGGTTGTCATGGCATAGCTGGCGAAGCTCCTCCATTGCGCAATACTGGCTCATCTGATGCACGCCGTCCCAAGCCAAAAGGCCACGATGGGAGTCAGGTGAGTTGATGTACTCGATGTACTCACGCAAGGAGAGGATGTTTGTGCGATAGATCACGCACCATTGCTCAGGAATGTAGTCCATGGCCTGTGGATAGCGATCGGGCGCTACGTCGATGTAGGCCAGCCGTGCCAGAGAATGATCTTCGTCATATCCAAGGCCCAGGCTGACTTGCGCTTTGTTGCGCGGCGGGTTCGCCAAGTGAGCATGGCAAAGCCAATCCTGCCGCTGCGCTGCCCGATGGTCATAGCCCATTTGTAGCATTCGTTCCATGAACTGGACGTCATGCTCGAAGCGATCCTCGATGCTCTGGAAGCCACACTTGTCTGCACGCTTCATCCGGCTGCGAGCGTCTTGGATCATGATCGCTTCTGGGCTCATGTTTCCACGGCCGCTTGCAGACACCACACGCAGGTTGAGGCCAGCCTTGATGTAGTCGCTGACTGGGCACTCAGTGCGAGCGAGGCCTGCCCTCGCAAGCTGCTGCTTTCGGAGAACTGAAAGTCTGGTGACGGCTTCCTCCGGCAGCTCGGTGTTGGTGGCAAGTTCGGCTGAGCAAATGTCACAGTGGGTCATGCCCCTGAGGACTAGACCCTTGCACTGGCTGCATTCGACCTGGATCACCGTCAGCTTGCGTCCCTTTCGAAGTGTCGGGGCGGTGATCGGCACATCAAAGCCAGGTGGAGGCCCCGCAGGCTCAGGCGGAGCGTACCCGCTGTAAGATGCTTCAGGTTGATCTTGCTCTGCCACATTCACGATGGAAGTAGGTGGAGTAGAAGGTGCAGCCTTGCTTGCAGGTGCCGATTTGCTGGTTGCAGTCAGGGAAACAGGCATTGCTTTTGCGGTTGGCCGGGGCTCGCCAGTGATGGCGGCCCGGCTCTCACCTCCATCCGCTGGAGCAGCCTCGGGTAGGCCAACGGCGCTTACCCTGGTCCAGAGTGTGGACTGGCTTTCGGTGTTTTCGACGGAGACAATGTATTCTGGAAGTACCGTGTCAACCGTCATGATCCCACCGGAGCGGTTCTGGAAAAAGATGAGACCGCCATCGACTGCTTCCCGAAGTGCAACGGTAAGCTGAATAGGGTGCTTGCCGCGGAGACCGCTTTGATAGTCGGTCTCCGTAATGCGACTTGCAGCCAGGTAGACATGGGCTCGATCGCTGCCAACAAACTCGCCCCCGCCTGGGATAAGGCCCTCCTTGACGATCCGCTTCCAGCACGCTGGCCTCGTGCGGTGGTAGGCCAAGACAGGGATCTCATCCGCTTTGGCGATGGGCTTCCCAATGAAGGGAGCTTTGGCTTCTGGCCTGAGCGCAGGACTGCAGTACATCAGGGCTGCCGATCTGTAGTTGTCCTGTGCGCTCTTGATCGCGTGCTTGCTTTGGCCAGCAGCGGCACGCATCTTCAGAGGCCATAGTGCCACGCCCTTCTCCTCGAGTTTGTGCCCTTCTCGAATGCCCAAAAACTCGAATCGGTTTTTCTTGTCCTTTGCTGCTATGGCGATCAAGTCTTTGACGGTGAGCGGCGGGGCACTGCGGTGATTCAGGCCGAAACACCTGGCTACTTCGTCCAAGTCTGCGTAGCCATCTTCGTCAACTTCAAGGCCCAGATATTGGTCATGTTGTCGAACAACTTTGGATAACTGGGTGAGCCAATCCTTGAGGGGTTTCGCGAAGAAAAGGTGCCCGCCATTGAGCTCCCATCCGCTCGCAAAGTGGAGCGGCAATTGCTTGTCGCCAAGCTGGACCACTTGCTGGAAGGCGCCATCGACCTCAGCCATCTTGTACGTGTACTCGTGGTATTGGTCTGCAAGATACTGAGGGCACACAACGTGGCCTTCGTCAGCATCAGCTGCCGGCGGCGATGAGGGTGCCTCGGGCTCGGGCTCGCCAATGATGGCGGCCGAGCCTTCCTCGCCATGAGGTGCGCTTTCTTCTTCATGTTCTTCTGGCACGACCTCCTCATATGGCGATACATCCTCATCATCGATGGCATCGATGTCGAGCCATGCCGCTGGGTTTTCACCAGTTTCGACGCGATGGCTGAGTTCCTCAAGCGTCTGGAGCCGACCCTCATAGGTTTCTCGGTTGATGTCCAGCTCTGCAGCAATCTTCTCCTGCTCTTCCTCCATGACATCAAGGCGTTGCTGGAGGATCTTTTCTGCCGTGGCGTCATTTGCGACGAAAATCTCCGAAAGGTCTGGATCATCTTCCTCCCCTTCGGGCTCATCATCGATGCCGGCCATGTCTGCCTCGGTAATCGGCGCAGCACGGTTTGGCTGCTCCGCAGCGACGTCCTTCTTGGTAAGGGCGCGAGCGGTGAGCTCGGCTGCGGCGATTGCCCTTTTGTGGCGGACATCGGCAAGGTTTCGGAGTAGCTCTTCGTATCGCTGATGTGGAGGGAGGCGATCATCACGAAGCTCAAGTCCACCGAGCGGACGGTTCATCGGACTGGTGGCAGCTACTTCCAATGCGATATCTCCGAGAACGTAGAGTCTCATAAGCAGGTGGAATACACTCTGACAAAATGAGAACATATGATTTGCATTCTCGTCCGATTTTTCGCAATGCCATTGGTCACGCAAGTCCATGCGGATGTTGAGGACGTTGATGTTGACTAGGCGGAAGCGACACTTGCCGATCTGAGAACCATACACCTCATCCTGGAACCACTGACTCAGCCGGTTGAACCAGTCGCTGTAGGGTCCCTGCCGCGTGAAGCTGTAGGTCTCAGGATCGGGCGCGCTGATGAGAGCGGCCGAGTGCACACCGTATCGAAACATATCGGCGGCAAACCCGACCAGCTCTTCTTGCACCTTGTCCTGTAGCTCCATGTAGTGATCGCCGTCAGGATGATCGAAGGGCCATGAAGTCTGAGCTTCAATTCCTTTCTTGCCAATGAGCTCGTTGCCAGCCCATACCAGCAGCATGCAGCCTGGGAACTGGCGCTTTAGGCTCCTCACGGCAATACGGGCTCGTTTCAGCAACAATGGCAACTCTGCACCCCAGAGGCATTCGTGATGAAAATGCTTGCAGTAAGTCGGACGATAGGCCTGGAAGTGATCGGCCAGATCGAACCTCTGGGGTTTGCGTTTCGAACCGCTAACCAAGCACAAGGTGGAATCAGAGATCAAGATGTGTACCGTTTGGTAGTCTTGGCTCGTGGGCACACCTGTGAAGGCGGCTAGATCATACCGTGAGGTCCGAATCAACGGGCCCAACTCCGGCTCTAGCCATCGGTTCTTCTCGACCAGGCCCGCCAGCACAGAATGTGCTGTGTGCTGGCCAAGGACGCCATTCAGCACCGCGTCCACATCCTCAGAATATCCGTCTTCGAGGTAGTAGCCGGAGGCCACAATCTGCCGAAAGTGCGACTCGAAGATGTCCAAGGTCTCCCTGCGCATGTCTTGGTCAGCCGACATGGTGTGATCAACAATGATCGCTGGCAGGGCGCGCTGCGCGACGGCGGCAGAATGACTTGAGCTGCTATGCTTGAAGCAGCGGTGAACCAGATCAGTGTACTCGAACGTGTAACCTTCGGCACTCTTCAATGACTTGCCTCTACTTTGCCCATGAGTATGATCATGTGTGCACATGTATTGCTCAAGACATGCAAGCTCATGAAGATTTGTGCATATGTGCCAACTCTTACGCATAAGATTACCGTGATTATCGCGCACACCAAACATGCATCCATCGAAGTTGTATCCTTGCAAGTTGTGGCGTTTGATGAAAGCCAACACCGATGGCCAATGCCAATAGCGACAGCGACGGGAAAGCTCAAAGGCAACAAACGTTCTTGAGTCAAGGTGGTCACGCACGAGCTTGGCGAAGCTCTTGAAGAGTTTGGTGAACTCCTTTTGTTGCTCCTTGATGCGTTCCAATCCTTCCTCAGTTTGCTTGTTGACGTTTCCCCATGGGCTCCCGCCTGTGCAGGGCAAACTGCCGTACAGCAGAACCTTTGCTTTTGGGTGCTGTTGTTTGAAGGTGTTGATTTCTTTGTCAAGCCACCTCATACACTTGCTTGTGGTTGCATCTTCGTTGATTGTGACGCGGAGGACTTTACATCCTTTTGATTCGCTGCGCATTTGCCCGAGCTTAGAATCAGCAGAACAACAAAACTCAATAAGCAACCTATCATGTGTGTTCGCATGTGCAACACCCCCCTGCTGCAAGACTTTGGAAACCACCGTTCTCGTTGGGGCTCCGGCCTGCACCGGGCTGTCAGCGAGCTTTTGCCCAATGCCGATCAGCCTAAGGGCGTGTTCCCACTTGGCAGCGTTAGTGAACGCCTTTGTGAGGATGTCTGCTGTTTGGTAGAGGGTTCCTACATTTACCAAATCGAACTGCTCTCGTTCGAACTGTTGCTTTAGCCATTTGAAACTCACAGTTTGCGTTCTGTTCACGTGCTTCATGGATGACGAGTTCCCAGACTTCAAGATTGTGATGGTCGCCTGATTGTCCTCCATGAACTTGACTTGGCAAAAGTCTGGAAAATGGACCTTCAAACCCTGAATGTTTGAGACATCCAGTCCAGAATCGACATTGCCGTTCCGAATCTCGTTGATTTCGGGGTCAATGCGAGTGAACACTTCCTAGACATCCATATGTACCACTAAATCTGGTACATGGCTTCATTTGTACTGTTTAAATTTTTTCACGCACATATGGTTTTTTTAACGCACTTTCACGCCAAAAGCTTTGCCAGAAGTTGCTCCATGCTACCAGTTTTGCCAGAAACATGGCGCGAAGAGATTTGGTCTCTTTCATGTTTGTTAACTTGTGACAAGTGCAGCTCTACATGTGAGCCTTAAGTGGAGCAGATTCTTGAGCCAAAGTGGAGGCAGTTCCAAACTATATATAGTATATATTTATATCAAAATACCGTAGACACGGTATTGTGTAACAATACTTGGTGGATGGTTTTTGCACCGCTCAGCCGGATCGTGAGAAAAACCGGAGGATCACACGAAGCAGGAAACCTAAGGTTGAAGAAGTGTACAAATATATGGGTGTTTCTTAAAATGGTGGTACCCAACAAACATATGGGTAACTCTTTGGGTGTTTTGGAGGTACCACCATTTAGAAAACATCCATATATATATATATATATTTCACAGCATTAAGGTTGCCCGCAGGCCCATCCCTTCCGCTCCCGCTGCCATTTTCTCTTGGCCACTCGAGCTCACAGCTCTATCGAGCGAAGCTTTGCCGGGAGTCCCAGCAAGAACCGTTGCAGCGTACGGATCGCAGCAGTACGCTTGTGTGTCATCCGGGTGATTCTCATCCAACGCTTCATGGCATCCTCGTCCATCCACGTGGAATTCACTGTAGGGTTCAGCTGCGAGCTCCGGTGCTCATGCACCACATGCCATAGTAGGTGGAATTTGGGTCGAAGCCTCCAGAGGCGCTCACCACGTTGCAAGGCTCGGGATGCTAACTGCAGATACGAACACAAGAACAAATGGCCCACATGAATTTTGTGGCGCCACTCATCATTCGTCATGAACATCCCAGCCTTGCTCATGACTCTTACAAAGGAGTCCGCCGACCAACACACCGTCGCCAACAGATCATCTCCGCAATCTCGTGTTGTAAGTTCTGCTGAAAGCCACTTGCAAACCACAAACGTGTCGTAGCCCTTGCATCGAAGTTCTGGGTATTCGGAGGACTCCCACGTGAGGTTCACCTTGGTCAACCGTCGAAGAGTTAAAGTGAGCTTGTTCGCCTTTGCATACTCACGCAGTCGAACTGTGGCGGACTGCAACCTGTCCTCCTGTGTACGACCTTGCCAATGTCCGGGTCGACTGGCCAACATTCGTATGGCGCTGGCGCAAAGGTCACGGCCGCAGCCTAAGTGAAAGGCGTGCAAGATGTCGACTGCAAGCATCTTCAAGTTGAACCCTTGTAGACTTGCCAGCGATGGCTGTACCAGCCAAGGGCTATCTTGATAGATCGTGGCCATCCAAGGCGCAGTGGGGTGGACATTGGTGAAGGACCAGGCAGCATCGTTACTGCCCTTTGTGCACCGGCACATCCAGCACACCTGCATGGGAAAAATATACAATATGAAAACCAGCCATCAAACCGAAAGAATTGAACTCCCAATGACACAATGACAATCAGTGACACTAATTAAGGGCCCACCCAGCCCACCATTGACACTATTTCAACAGTTGGGCCTCCTCAAAAGTTGCATAGCGCTGAAAGCTGAAGGTCTGATGGAGGAACTTCCAGTCGCCCTTGATGTTAGTAATCCAAAATTTCAGCGTCAAGACCTGACCATTGCGCACACATCGGCTTATATTTGATCATCAAGTCCCATGTAGCCCATATGGCTAGCCCAATCTTTTGGCTCAATACCGTTAACACCAAATAATGTAAAAGTTTTACGAAAAAGTTCAAGGCACGCGCTCGCCAGTCTTCGGGTCCAGAATGGGAACACCAGTTGTAGACAGCTCATTGAAGCTGTCCCGAATGGCAGCTGTAGCAGCTTGAAGAGTAAGATTCACGCCATTCTCATCAAACACATACCTGAGTATGAAGCGTATATGCAGTGAACACATAATGTACTATTAGATATACAATATATACGATCTAAATAGAGCTTCGAGAAGAAAGACAAAACTGAAAACAGCAAAGATCATTTGATGGCTCTGAGGCACATGGACGCTGGAATGCAGCATATGAGGAACCTGCTGCAGGCCGAAGTGGAGATGCAAGGGCTCAAGTCGGGGCACCAGTGGTAGTTCATCCAAGATCCACCAAGTGCTTGCCCTTCATCCCCTGCAGCAGCCATTGAATTGAATCAGATCAAATAACTATAGTATTGATTATTTCAACATGTCGACGGCCATATAGGGACACAACCAAAGTCCAAAGCTGCTCAATAAGCAAAGGCAAGGATCCATAAAGCGTCAAAGGTACACTTGTGGCCTCTTGGCCAAGCACCGGATGATCGGGGTAGTCCTTCAAAAGATTCCGCCAGTAGCCCTCCATTTTGTCGAACTGGGTGAGATACTTCAGATGCCCCAAGTTGATCATGGCAGTTACCTTGCAAATGAATTCTAAAGCCATTGAAAGGGCATGTTCAAAGGACATACCAAACGATTCAAACAAAAAGTTGAACCAGGGATTGAATATTGGTCCAAATTTCCAAATCGGCTGGAAGCAAGATCGGCCATGATTCAATCGCCACTCTGCCAGAATTTGTGTCAACGCAAAGCGGCAATTCCACATAGGATGGTTCAGCCGGAAAGCTGATGCCACCTTGCGCAGCTTTGCGATGAACATTGTGCTCACGTTGGCCCGCCCTTAGATACAGGGAATTGAACCCCATGCCTTTAAATGTTTTCCCTTTCTTCATTCAAACAGCCTTAGAACACCAAAAGAATCAAACAATTCCTAAGTTTGACCCAGTCTCCGAGTAAACACCTGTGAATCGAAGATCTCCCCGATCTCACAGGCGTGCTTGATCGTGGACCCGCCAGTGCCCACTCCGCGCGCAAGCCTGAGCAGGATTGATCGCATGGGCGATCCATACCCCTCAATTCTACACCTTCTGGAGGCCCCTCTCCCAAAACAAAGATTAACAAATAAAGGAAAGATTGAATCATCCAGGAAGCACATCATCCAATCGTTGGCGCTTGTTGCTTAAGCGCGGGTCCTCCCAATCACCTGCGCCGGGTTGGCATTAAACTGACAAATGCACCAAAAAAGCCACCATCCTTTCCAGTGCAACCATCTTTTCACATCGAGTCAACACAGCTGTATTCTAAGCTGCTCTAGGGATCACGGTGAGGTCATCAAAACATCGAATGCTTGACCCGAATCTATGGTTCATCGGGCATGCACCCCTCCCACAATTGCACACCCATTGTCTTGAAACATGAAGGTATCCAATCTCTTCATTTTTCATTAGCACTAGTTTCTGTGCAAAGTAGGCTATGGGAATACAGCCACGGCAGATTCACCCCCTGCATTCAGAGGAGAAAGGACCTCTCACATATCTCATCTCACATCATCCTTGGCTGCCCGAGGCCGCAGATCCAGCGTCCTTCGCCTTGGCTTCCTTCTTGCGGCACGCCAGGACCGCCTTCGCCTGGGCCTTGATCACCTTCATGTTCGATACCTTGGGTCGGGCACCATGCAGACCAGATATAGAAAAGGTCATGACCCAATTCATTTTCAAGGGGGTACAATAAAAGAAAAAGTTGACATGGCAGAGTGTTGTGAAAGGTTCATTGTCAGCAATCTCGGATTGCAAATCTTTGAGGGTCGACAAGTTGTCCATGCCCTTGATCCTCAGATGTGATGGCTAGGGAATCCATGACGGCGATGTCAGTCAGACATGTCTTATATATAGTATATCTCCTAATCCCACTATATATATGTATATATCCAAAACCAAAAGATACATCCAAAACGACTGAACTTGTCATGGCACTCCTGAAGAAACTCTTCATAGCGGTCTTTGAACTTCATCAAAGAAACGCGGAGCTTGTCCTTCGGGTCCAGGTCAAGGGCAGCCATATTGCATTGGTTGATCTCCTTCTTCAATTGGCTACCTTGGTCACAGAATGTCACAGATTCATGAATATAAATCTATATTACTTATTTATTGACACAACCAAAAAAGTTGATAAATAGGAGACATTGAATTTGCAAGCAGTGGGCTCAATGAAGATTTCAATTCTGCAGCGCCTGTTGGCTCTGCTGGGGTCACAGAAGGTCGTGACTTCGGTTTGGCCTTCGGTTTGGATTGGCCCTTTGGTCGCGGAGCTCCTGCAACCCAAATGATCCAAATAACAATTGCAAACCTTTATGCATTCAACACCTCAACCCTCCCACAAAACCAAAAAGGCTTCAAAATAGACATCCGAACTTGTCTCCTCCAGTCGATGCCTGCAGGGCTTGTTGAGCACGTTCCACCACATCAATACCTGCAACTGGAGCCTGAGGACGCGAAGCCCCTCCCGAAGAAACGCCAGGAATCCCAGCTGGGTCACTCATAAACGCTCCCAAGCTTTCTGATGTAGTGGCCACATTCAGCCGTGTGGTAGCTCTCGTGCTGACTGATTCCGAGCTCGTCCTTCTCCTTGAGACCGTCACCCAATATTGGAAGCACTCTTCAACTTCAGGGCAGTCAGGATCAGGTGTGGCGCCACCACGGCTCACAATGCTCCTGATCTTCTCCAAAGGCCAATTTGCAAGGAGCATATCTCGCACCGACCAAGGCTCCCGCTGCCCTTCAAACCGCTCAGCAGACTCTTTCTGCAGGACCACAGCTGACTCACACTGCTGCTTGTTGCAACCAGAGTTCACCCACGCACGGAGGAGCTTCAATTTGTCCTGGCGTACACGCCCAATCCAAAGAATTGGAATTTTCACAACTACGACCTACTGCAACCAAAAGGTAAAAACATGTAAACAAATCAAACCAGGGCACTGCGGAACTTCCATTGAATAGCTGAGACATATGTGGAAAGTCAGCTGCAGCAGGCGATTGCATGAAACGGTTCAGCCTCATGGCTTCATTCCTGTGTGTCGAAGTGTTGACACGCTCATCAGCGTCTGCATTGGCAGCAGCAGGGGCCGGAGCTGATGGAGCTGCAGGCATCGATGGCCCTTGTGCAATCATTTGTCGGATATCTGCTGGCAGCTCATCAAAGCGCACCGTAGACCCCCCCACTTGGGCAACCATTGAGCCAGGAGCGGATAAAGGAGCCTGCGGTGTCGTACCCAGGTTAACCGGCGTTGCTGGCACAGTGGCTGGAGGTGGTACTGGAGCAGGTGGAGTCAGTGTTGTCACTAGAGCGGGCACTTGAGGCATCGCCACTGGAGCTGGTGGAGCCTGTGGAGCCGGTACTGTTGGAGCAGGTGGATTTGGCGCTACCACTCCATCCATTCTCACTGGAGCGGGTGGATCAGGTACTCGAGCCTCATGCGTTGCCACTGCAACAGGTGGAACCAGTGTTGTCACTGGAGCAACTGCAGGTGGAGCTGGTGGATCAGGCACTGCCTCCAGAGCAGGCAGAGCCAGTACTGGAGCGGGTGTCAGTCCAGCCTCAGGCAGTGGTAGTGGAGCAGGCAGAGCCAGTGTTGTCACTGGAGCGGGTGGGTCAGGTCTCACTGCTTCATGAGGTGGTACTAGAGCAGGCGGATCTGTTGGCACTGGAGTGGCAGCCGGACATGGTGCCACAGGCAGATCTGCAGGAGCGGCAGCCTGAGCCGGTGCGATTGGAGCAGGCGGATCTGTTGCCACTGGAGCCACAGCCTGAGGCGGTGCCACTGGAGCAAGCAGCTGTGTTGTCACTGGCGTGGGTGGATCCACTGGAGCAGGATGAGCCTTTGCTGCTGCCTCACCGACAGTGTCAACGAACGTATCCTCGACTTCCATCTCCTGTCCCAGGATCAAGGTTGGTGAGCGACAGCTGTCCTCCAAGCCAAGCTGGTTGTCGGGCACAAAGGGACTTTCATCCACCATCACAACATCTGAATCTCCAGTCTCCGTAGGTGCTGGGGTTGCAGGCACACTGGCCTTTGGTGGCAAATCCTCATGGACAAGCGCAACGCCTAGACATGGTGTTGCCTGGGCTGGAGTCGGAGTTGGTTCGATGGCAGGATCCACTTCAGGTTGTCTCTCAGCCGCCTTAATCTCTTTCCGGGCGGCCAAGTAGTCCCGGGTGCGCTGAGATGCAGAGCTCATCGTGCTCTTCTTAATCTCCTCCTCAGTGAGCTCTTCACCATCCAAATCAGCCTTGCAGGATCGATAGCATGCATAATTCCCCAAAACCCATCCTCCCAGGATACAATGAAGAACCACAAACTTCCTATACTAGTTTTTGACCATTACACCTGGCCTGAATGTGTCCACGGCGCTCCAATGCCTCAGATCCACCATCAGGAATCTGACCAAGCTGGCGTTGTAAACGGTTGATGGTGGCCTGCGCGGCCGACAAAGCTGCTGCCATCTCCAGCGATCCAGGCGACAAGGTTGTGACGCTGTCACCCAACCTCAAATGGACATCAAAAACACTGTAATTGAGACTGTTGAGATTGGTTGAGATTGCCAAAAAAAAAACTTACAATTCACCATACAGATGCCAAAGAACTGCAGCGAGGAGACTTGTGAATTTGCAGCCTCCGCTGTTGGAGCGTGCTGCACCTCCACCATCTTCAATCCAGCTTGGAGGGTTCCACAAGACCTCGAATGCATAAAATTGAAGGAAAATCGCATATATACCTTAAGAGAGGAAACACACATATAGTAAGTGTTTTTCATGAATATAATATTTGTTAATACATACCTATATTCATATAGCACCAATAAATTGTTGAGCCCCACCAAGTTACAACTCAGAAGCCTGGGACTCTAGGTTCAGGGTGTCCGATCTCGGAAAGCGACGTGCAGGGGGGCTCATGGCCACCACAGCTTCCTTCTCAGCTGGCTCCCCAGCCTTGAGGACTTTCTCCGGTGGCTCATCCACCTCAACCTGCTCAGAAATCGGTGGCCGCCGGGTTCTGCTCGATGTCTCGGGCTCCGTCTTCTTCGCTTTGGCAGCCGGTCGTTTCAGCACCATCCGCTCAGGCTCCACCTCCTCGTCGTCATCGATCTCCTCTTCCTCCATGTCTTCAAGAGGTGGAGGAGCGCTTTTGAGAACAGTCCTCGCCTTCCGACCCCCTTTGGCTTTTGCCTTACCCTTCGCTTTGGGTTTCCCCTTAGCCTTAGCTTTAGCTTTCCCCTTCGCTTGTGATTTCGCTTTCCCCTTCGCTTTTGGTTTCGCTTTCCCCTTCGCTTTTCCCTTCGGAATAGCAGCCTGTTGCATCGACTCCGAAACGCACAGCTGCAGGACATCCTGAGCTATGCCCATGAGGCCCAGCCGAACAACTCCCGATGAGAGCGAACCCCAAATTTCAAGATAATGTCTACTGGGTTTCCCAAAACCAAAACATTTGATCAACAGTGAGCAAATGCTGTCCAGGCACCGGGGGAGGGTCTGTACCCAAAACCAACTTCATGACTTTCATGGTATCGATTGGAGAGAGCGCTATGGACTTTTGTACCTCTCCAAACTTCTCCCAATCAAGTTCATCCAGTGGGAAGGGCAACGTGGGGAGCGACATGGCTCATATACCAAGGATGACCAGTGAGGTTCAATGGCTATAAAAGAAATGCACGTGCAAAGCATGGCTTCAATGTCTATACTCACACATGTGTTCCATTTCCCAGAGAAACCACACAACACCTGTGAAGGTTACCATGTGTCAAAAATGAGCATATTGTAGTTTTCACGCGTTTCACGCCCGTTTCACGGTCATTTGGTACTTTTTCACGTCGAAATCACGGTTTTTCACGCAGTGATTTTCTACAAGTACCAGACCATGTTCTAACACAACCCCCCCCACAGCCACTGTTGTAGGCATCAGGGCAATGCTGTAGATCCAGCTTTAATTAAAGCGCATCCTCAGGAGCTCATATCAGGCGCTCAGGAGCCAGAGCATGTTAAGGCTTCCGATGGCTTCAGCAATCCCAGGGCAATGAAAGCCTCCTCCTTACATGTGTCAACTATGATATCCCACCCAAAGCTAGCTCATGCATAGCGCTCCAACTATATAGAAACCAGTTCCAATAGATCACCGAGAGTCCCAACGTCCTGGTGGATCGAGATATTTGCATTTGGCCAGGTAGCGAATCACCTCCAGGCACCGTGCGATGATGGTCGGGAATTGAGCCAGGGATGGGAGATGCAGGGATGGGAGATATCTATCTGGACAGTCCCACCTAATGTGCCAAAAGACAACAAAAACACAAGCATACTGAATGACAGCAAAGGGCCTCATCCAACTCTGCCTGCACAGCTCCATCCATGTATATATGGTCCAAAATACCCCACAAATAGTAATTGTTTCTATTGTTTGAACTCGGTCCAAACAAATGCTCCTGGGACACAAAGACTTTCAGGCTAGGTGTGAACAACCATTTGCATTATTTTGGTCAACCCTGCACGGAGCCCCATTCCATGACCCACAAAACAACTCACAAGTTTACAATGTTCATCGAGTTGCATCTGGCCACCGGTCCCCAAGGCCAGCCACGCCCAGACCAGGAATGCAATAGGCATTGAGAAATAGTTCAAAGTCACCCCTTTTGCCATCCACATCCACATGGCACTTTGGCCCAGGAAGGTCATCCTGACAGTATATAGGCAGACCAGCTAAATTGTTTGGTGTTAGACACCCGCACCTTCTTGGCTTTTCTTTTTATAACATCTTGTTGGCCAAGCTAGTTCAATCACATTGAAACCCAGTTGTTTGGGTGTTTTGGTATACACCCAGTCCTGACGCAAGGCGATCGCAAGCTGAGCCAGCTTTTGCCCAAAATGTGGCGTGTAAGTCCTTACCCCAAATGACACGTGGCTCCAACACTATCTAGCCTTTAAACCTAGCAAAGGTGCACAGTTCCCCGAGAGAAGTTATGAGGACACAAAAAACAAAATATGAGAATACCTTTTTATATAAAGGGCCAACCAAGTGTCTGTGAAGCTTTGAGTTTCTCTTTGATGCCAGTGCAGCGAAGCACACCATGCCGGTCCCGATACTTTTGGACCAGCGGGCCACCAGGCAGCTGATCCATTTCCTGCTTCGTCATGGAGCCAGCCGCATTGCTGATGGCCAGGAGGAGTGGTTGGTCATTTGACCAAAGCCGGTGTCGCTTTGCAGTGGGTCCACCAAATTTGCCCATCCAGAATGAAGTAGACCACACCTTGCATCGTAAGCAAATTCCTTTTGGGGCGTTTCTTGTGTTCAATATTGGAAGAACCCATAGTGCCAAAGTATCCAACATTTATTGTCCAAAACATACACTGAATAAATGACAAGACACATGGGCGCTCTCCAGGAACTGTTGCCACCGTGGTTGTAGTGGAAATGCAGTACCCTCTGGTTGTTCGATCACCCAGCGAAGCCCTTTCCATGAGGCCACAAATAGCAACAATATCAGCCGTGCCACAAGCAAATTTCCAGTCGCGACAAACTCAAACTCAATGTGCCCCAATGGAAACAATATGGACCGGCCAGAGGTTGCTCGACTCCTGACTGCACCATGCCACATAGAGATCCAAATACCAAAACCACACCGCACAACCACACCACAAAACTCCTGGGAAATATATAAAGCGTGTACCATCAAAGGTCATAGCCTAGCGACATCCTGGAAAATGATGTGCAGCAAAGGGCAAATATGCAAAGGCTGCCAGGCTCAGCTCTACGAATCTCGTTCATAGCCACCCTGGGATCCAAGTCTTGGACACGGAACCACAACATACACTTATCCCCAAAATAGCCCTTCTATAGAAGCCAACAATTGAACATTGGTTGAACAGAACACATCAAAGAATAGGGCCACCATGACTGCAGATCGAGTGGCAAGAACCCCGTTGGCTGACATAGATCCATGAGCTGCGGTGCCAGATTGATGTCGTGCATGGACCCTGATAGGCCGCTAGATCGTAGAGCACGTGAAGCTTCCCCTTGCCCTGCGAAGAGCTCCACAAACTCGACGCCTGGCCCCGAAGGCACTTTGGTGTTGAACTGCAGGAGAAGCAGCACCAACATGAGCACTGGTGGTGCACGCCACCTCATGAGTTCCAGGATCATGGTGGCACCACTGGACACCAAGTGTTGCTGCAGCCAAAAAACTAGCTCACCAGCATGGCCATTCCTTGACATTTGCAAATGTAAGGTACATTGGATGCCTTCCTTAATAGTTCAAATTGACAGCACCCGTGTTTCCCTGGCGCAAATTTGAGCAATCCTGACAACAATAAAACGCTTATGAACACTCGCATATTTTGCAACACACAGCCATGCGTGTGAAGTTGCTTGAATTGAGCCTAAGTTCAGGTTGTTCTATACAGGGCCTATGCAAAAGGATTTGCTTGGCAGCCTTTCTGAACAAAGCGTCTTCGAATTAGCTCTGAAACCGACAGGTCCTTGAGAAGGTTTCGCTTCTCTTCCGACTCATTCCACTTAAGAGAGGCTTCCCTATGTCCAAGCCCCTCCTCCTTGAGCTTGGCAATGTACTGCAGCCTCGTAGAAGCAAATACCTGCGGAGTGTAAGCGCCTGTGCTCTGGCTCCGGCAGGACGATGATTTGGAGGCAGCTGGCTTGACCTTCTTCTTGGACTTCGGTTGTGGAGGAGCACCAGTAGCCTCAGCCTCAGCCTTGCGCTTCTTCCAAGAGCTCTTGTATTGGTCGCTGAGTGGGAAGGGCTCCACTGCACCAATGTGCTGAAGGGTGTTCAAAACCTAGGATGGCCACAAGGATCGATCAACACAGCAAACTATATAGTATTCAGAATTGTATTGATATGAACATTCATCCCGCTTAGATAAACATCAGGCCATGTGATTTGCACCATACCTGACAAACGACGAGTCACACAGGCAGGGAGGACATGGGATTGCTGTGCAGTCGGCTTGCTCTCAGGCACGACCTCTTTGACCAGCTGCAAAGCCTTGGCTAGCTTCTCAGCCATGGACACCCCAGATGGGGAGGACGACGCCACAGACGATGAGGATGACCTAAACAAAAGCAAATGGCTATCAGCAATTCCACTGGTCATATGTTGAAAAGCAACCTTTGAATCCTCCCAAAAAAGACATCTTTCCAACGCAGCTATGTGTCTCTTGCTTTTTTTTGGGATGCAGCATGCGCGCGGGCATCCTTCAGCTGCAGCGCCAAGTCCATGATCTTTTGATCTGGGTGGTGGCCACCAGAATCACCAGGAAGCTTTGGCACCGTGCTCTCCAAATCAACCTGAAAGATAATGAGGGAGAACCTGTATACTATATTGGGTCCATACATATTATAGTATATCATATAAGAACATGTGCCCTAATGCAATATGCGAGGAACTGGGACATGTATCTCGGTCAGCGTATCCACAGAAGCTGCAGAGGAACCTCCCTCTCCACCATCCCCTTCGGAATCATCATCTGGGTGCGCCGATCCAGGAACGAAGTCCTGACTGAGTTCATTGAATACCACCTTTTTGAAATAATCATCAGGGAGTTCAGGGATTGCAAATTAAGAGACCCCGTAACTTAGACTAATGGGAATTCAGGGATTGCAAATTTAATTAAGAGACCCTGCAACTTAGACTTATACCACCCACAGAGTTCAGGGATTGCCAATTAAGAAACCTCCCACAAAACAAGTTGAAGCAGCCTAGAATCCACTTTGCCTTCCAGATCTTGCTTGAGGCGGTTGATGTTCCCCTTCTTCGAGGTGCCCGCGTGCCGGTAAAGGTTCCGGAAGCGGCTGACCTTGGACAGACATGAAAGTATATATATATATTGTATACACACACAATAATATTATACAAGGTCATTTTGATAAACCAACTAACTACCCAAATGCAGTCCAGCTACAAGTCTTTGCAAGGCTTTTCCTTGCTTAAGCGCCCAAGTCTGTATGCACTCCATCTCTGATGTGATACCAGGGGGGTACAGTTTCGCCTCCTCGTAAAACTTCATGATGCTTTCTTTGAGAAGATGTGCTGAATACCTTCCCGTGCCCCGGCTTACAACCATGACTGCATAGACCGGGTCATAGTTGGCATCGAGATCAGATGAGCTCACCTGCTGTTTGGTGAAGAGGCGCCCTGTGGCATTGCATAAGAAGCTGAAGCCAACCTGGAGTTTTGGTCTGAAGAACACCTATACCCTTTTCATTTCTGTTTTCAGAGGCCAAATGCATCAATATCTATATATATATATATATGGGAAAAACATACAGAACACAATTGTTATTTGCATTGCAAAAAACCTCTCGGAGGCGCTTTTGCTTTGCAAAGGCACTGGCGTACTCAGCAATTCTTTGCTTCATGGTAGCCATGGCTTGCCCAACAAGGTGAAGATCTGGCAATCCTTCAATTATGAAACGCATGAAATGCATATATAGTTCACTCGTCAAGAGTACTCGAAACTGCACCATTTGTTGCCATCATTGGAACTATCGTGTCCCCACCTGGACCAAAATTTCTGATAGGCACCACACAATCGAGTGGAATCAAGCCCTCAATATGTTTCAGAACCTAGGCATGGCCTTTAAAAAGGAGAATCTATATAGCCTCAATCCCTCCGAGGCCTTCAAAAGGAACCCTGTCAAGAGCCCCGCATCTTCCCAAACCAGCCACCCACCACCCACGCAAAGCACGCGGGAAGGCGTACCATGCTTCAGAAGCCAAAGAGCCTGAGGCCGGAGAGCAATCGGTTTGGGATACAGGCCATGTTCATGAATGTGGGGGAATGCAAGTCGCATGCCTTTTAGTTTAATGATCCATGTCTAAACATATACAGGCCATGTTGAACACTTTTGGCCTGGACAATGTTAGGATGCATGCACTGCATAGTTGGGTTTAGTGATCCAACTCTCACAATCAAACAAGGGCTGGAGACTGAGGCATGCATGAGGCATGCATATGGTTTGGTTCAATGATCCAATTCTCATATGGCATGGAATCAGTTAGGATACAGGCTATATGGAGATTGCTGATGGCATGGTGTATAGTTTAGTGACAGCCTACCATATGGTCTTCCCAACATATTACCCAACTCTGAAATTCTATTGCAACCCAGGGCCCCACACCATGTCCGGCTTGCTTCATAGCAAACGTAGCCCAATCGCCATCAACCTGGCACTGCGTTGGGTCATAGACCAAAGGTCTTAATTTGGGACACTTGATGCAACGGTTTTTTGAAGGTTTATGAAATTGTTTTGGGTGGTTTTGAAGATAGTGTATGTGGAGATGTGTTGGGTGTGTCCTGCTGACATGTTGGGAGGCAGTGGATGGCTTTGGCGACAAAGGTTGAATGACAACAAAGGTGAATGACAACAAAGGTTGAGACCAAGGGTGAACATTCATTAAACTATACATTGGTGGCCAAAACCTTCAATGCACCTGACCCTCAAGCCCATCCCCCCATCCCAACACGCATTTTCTTCCATATTCAAATCACTGGAATCAGATGTCCATTCAAATCAGCTGTCCACTGGAAGATCAGCCACGAGTTGGAATGGTGCTTTGACCTTGAGGTGCAGCGCATTGATTTCTGCATCCTCAATCAGGGGTCTGCGCAAAGGGTCACCAACCCACCCAGAACGGTTCTCAGCCTCCCAAAACAAAACAAAATAGGAAAAAATCATTGTGATTATTCCAAGCTTCCATCTCACGACACAACTGGCTGAAAAGGCGTTTGGTCCGTTGCAGCTTGGCGTAGGTTTCTGGTTCCATAGAATCCTAACTTGTTGATTCTTAAGCAAACCATCATAGCAAAACCAAGAATTGCAAACCTATGCAACAAAATGGAAAAGGATAGCTCAAACACTCCAGGTTGCAGCCGGTCGCTTCCGTTTGGTGTTGGTGGCCTCGATATCCGCGCCCCCCTCACTCTCAACCTCTGAAGTCTTTTCATCCTCAGGGTAATAGATCATTAACAAAATTTGGACACATTTAGGAACACCAGCCTCGTCCTTCTCACAAAACTGTGGCAGGCCAGAAGTCCTCTTTGCTGCAGCAGATGTCTTGGCCGATGGAAGGGCCAAAATACGCGTGGCAGACTTCGGGTGAGGCTGCGGGAAAGTACCAAGACCTGCCTTGAAATGCAGCAAGGATCAAAAAAAACATGAGCATCCAACATACATCAAAAAGACAACAATTACAATCAAAAGACTTAAACATATTCCAAATTGCTGCATGTCGAGCTGACCACATCGGAAAAGACATGAGGATTCACAATTCGATATCAGATATCGAGCACAATTGCTGCAGCACATATAGGGTTCACCCTTTTCTGGATCTTCATCCCTGGTGTTGCAAGTTGGTCCATAATCACCTTCACTGAAGTAGGGAGAACTTGCCCAAATCCCTTAAAGGGAGATGTTGCAAACTTTTTAAAATAGGGAACGCCATGGAGGGGGGGGCGCATGGAAGAAGGAATAGATCGAAGCCCAATGGTTGAGGATCGGCCCTATTCAATCAGCCTTTACCAAAAAAACCTTAAGGCTATCAGGCTATATATTCACATATATATTGTCATATCCTTAGGATCAAGCAGGCTTAGGGCCCTATGCTCACCCAGGCTTTGGTTGTTTGGTTGCGCGAGACACAGTACCACTCCACCTGCAAGTTCCTCCCCAATTGCAACAAAAGTTCCGGCCTCTGCCAGAGCCATGGATCATCATGGATCCTAGATCAAAGGAAAGATCCTACAGTGAATGATGTTGAAGTCTTCCTGATTCTAGTGAATTTTGCTGCTGCACATGCCTTGACCAAAATGTCCATGCCTGCACATGTCTTGCTGCAACAGTAATGATGTTTGTGGACATGGCATGAAACAACATGGAACGTGTTTGATCGCACGTCGACAGTGTTGCTGGAGCATGCTGCTAGAAAGTTTTGTGGAAAGTGTTCGCTGTCTATAATGGAAATTGTTTCTGGAAAGTTTGTAGCAAGTATGTGGAAAAAATTCAGGGAAGTTGAAACATGTTTCTGGCAAGTTTGTGGAAAGTCTTCCTGGCAGGTTTGTGAAAGTTGATGCACTGTTTGTATCAAATGTTTATGGGGGCTGCTGTCATTAAAAGATAGGTGAATATAATGGGCGCTCAAGCACACCCCCACGCTTCGATGAAATTGGCGAGCGGACAGCGAGTGCAAGTCAAATCAACGAAGTCCACCCTGAAAACATCAATAGTTTTCCTGGATTATATGTATCTAGTCACAGAAGTTTCAAACATATATTCATATAGCAGCAAGGTTCACCATGGAACGGTTGAACTTTGCTTGGAATCTGCTTTCCCAAATGTTCAAGCATGGATTTTTGCTTGGAAACGACCTTTCCAAGTTTTCACGCAGTTTCACGCACATTTGGTTTTTCACGCACATAGCGTCCAAATCTGCCATGTGCCAGATTTAGTGGTACATATGGATGTCTAGGTTCTTCGTCAGCATACTTTCCCTTTGGGGCAAGTTTCGTAGCTACTTTGCCATAGGCGAGTTTCTCGAATAGTGCTAACACAGGAAGACCCTCTGCTCTAAGAGCTTGATTGGCAGCAACCACTTCAGCTTCGGTGGAGCTTGTGGAAATCACTGTTTGTTTCTTTGAAAATGAGTTGATTGGGAAATACGTGTTTGGACCCACAATGACAGTGGTGCACCCGGAGGTACTCTTGGCCTCTTCATCCCCTGCCCAGTCCGCATCAGCGAACAGCCAAATCTGGCATTCGGACAAGGGATCGCCGATGAAGGCGTCCAAGAATCTGTCTTTGGTATGGTGGATGTATGCCACCAACCTGTGGAGCGCGACGTCGCATTCCGTCGACCATTTCGTGACCCGGGAGGCCAAACTCTGAGTTGCACGGAGTAGGTCAAACCTAGCCATTCTAGCCGCAAAAAGGATTTTCATGAGAACCTTGCTGGCAATAGGTTGAAGTCGACCGTTCGGTTCGGACTCACTCAACGTCGGCCTGGCAATACCTGCATCCGTGAACGGTGTCGGGGCTGGCTTCAATGAGGAAACATCCACTTTCGCTAGCTCACAGTACGCTTCCACACACGATTCAAGAAAACTTGACATGTCATAGCGAACGATGCTAACGGGCTTGACCATGACGCCAGCCGTGGATTTCACTACGTCCTCAATTGGCTTGAACCTCTTCTGCTTGGCTTCGTTCTTTGCCTCGCGTTTATTTCGATGAGGTCCGGGCCTGTTCTTTGAAGCCGCTGCGAACGCGCTGAGGTCAACCTCTTCACCATAGGTAAAAATGGTCGAACCCGTCCAAAAGCCTTCCGTTTGCAATTTGGGGTTGTCTGACCATGAGTCCATTACCAATGTTGTACCTTCATCGCCGCTAACAGCTTGAATCGATGGACAACCATGAAAAGTGACATCATGATCAAAACGTGTGATCCTTTGACCCGAAATTTGCCTACTGAACTCCCCCCCCTCATTCGCAGGGTCGTAGAGCTTCTTGCGAGGCTGCAAATGAAACCGAGTCCACGTGCGAGTTTCAGGGTCATGGTGCCAATAGTCTCGTGTTCGATGCTGTTGGCATGCTGTTGCAAGTTTGGGATCGAAAACATGAGCAAAAGGATGCGCAGATTTGGGGAGACGTACGTGGGAAAACTCTTTGTGATGGCAACCAAAGTACCGATCATAGGCTTCGGGCTCGCCAATGTCGACGGCTGATTTGATAAGCTCCCATCCCTTGGAAAGGTGCTCCTTTGGCCCGGCCAATTTAAAATCATCCACGTATACAACCAAAAGAAGTCGAAGTTCTTGGTGGTAGAACATACTCTGCCAAACATCGGGCAGGATTTGTTCCCAACCTTTGGAGTGAAGTCGACTGTTGAGGTGCTTTTCCCAAATTCCGCCACTGTCGGGATGTCCGTATAATGCCAACACGAGGGGTACCACGGGATTTTGATATTTACCCTCCCAGGTCTTTGGCCACCGATTTCGCGGAAGAGATATCCATGTGGGCACCCCAGTGAAGAGGGCCTGGACATAAGCTTGAACAGCGTCTGCCTGCTGTTTGCCAAACCCTGGCTGACTACCATAGGCATCAAGAACCTTGGCGGCTTCCATTGACGCTGGGCTTGAGCCCAACTCGCCAAACAAAGCATGGTCAGAGTTTTGATCCCTGACGTTATTGCCTTCGAAAACCGTCCGTCCTTTGAATTTTCTCAAAGGGTTCCACGCTTCAAGCTCACTGCCCTTCTCGTAGCACGCTTCAAAAATGCGGCCGAGATGGACAGTCTCTCCCTTGCGGTGTGCCTCACTAACGACCTTTCGGCACTCCTGAACACGGGCTTCATCCCATGTTCCCTTGGCTCT